TGCATGTGGCAGAGCCCGGAGTTTACTGCAGCTCTCTTTATAAATATAAATATTCTGTATCTTAATGATTTAATGCTGCGTGTTTACTGTATTTATTTATTATGATGGATCTTAAATCTATTACTGAAGCTGATTTTTATGACGTGTATCCACAAATGTAACAATGTCAATTTGAGCATCTTCTGACTGAAATAACCTCCGTAGGATCTATTAATGTAACTCACATAATCTGATGGAGAGACATGTCATTTTGTGATTTAGTTGTTTTATTTATCATAAAAAGTTTTATTTATTTACGGCGGCTCTTCGTCCACTTTGTGAATTGGAGGCTCTCACACTGTAAAGTGATGTTAATGCAGGTGGAGAACGATTGTTTGCAGATGACGTCTTAATGTCAGGAAGCGTTTTCATAATTTTACTGTAAATGTTTTATAGCAAATTAAATAGTGTGCAGGAATTTATCTTTGTAACGTTTTGATCTTCTCATCTGTACACACCTGCGATATATAAAATATATGTAAAATACATCTGATTTAAAGAGGAATAGCAATAATTTAGCATTTCTCATATCCTTTAATGCCTAATGTTACATTCCTGTGTTTAAGTAGTGTTTAACTTTAATTGGAAATATAAATAATCAACCCAACAGAGTGACACCACAAAGCTTCCATACTTTATTCTGCTAATATTTTAATTTTGATTCAAATGTCTCAGCTCTCATATTATTCCAGCGTTAGAAGCTTCAGAGCTTTAATAAACAGGATGGACGACTCTTCCTCAAACACACACTGACCCAGAACCACAGTCCAGGTAAAACTGTGACTCTTAAATATAATTATTATTTAACTGTAAGTCTCAATCAATTAAATACACAATCATAATATAAATATGATCATTGTACTTTCCATTCCCATTCACTGAGAGCTTGTTCAATGTAGAGACTCATTTTCCAATTCAACACCTGGAAAATGATTGAAATGATCAAATAGCCTGGAAATAATCTGTGTTGTTCTGGAACATTTGAACTGTTTGATGTAACACGGTGAGCGGTTCCTCTGTACTCCTGCTCTCACACTTTAAGCTTTGGTGGGAAGAGTTTCCTGATGGACAGTAAAGTAACTGCTGTTAGATAGTTAGCTTAGCTGTTGTGTTGGTGTTTGGTGTGGACCACCGTGAGAGGTTTTCAGTTTAAATAGAGTTGTTTTCATCATATTACTTCTGTCCTGTAAAAGCACCAGTTTTGATGTTGGGATGCAAAAATGAATATATAATAATAATAACCAATAATTAATTCCCCTTAAAACTAAACTAACGAGTCTGTTTAAAATAGAAGAAGTATAAAGTTCAGATATTTGTGTAAAGGTATAAAGTTAAATAAAAAATAAATACCCCTTAAAAAATGACTTAAGTACAATAACAAAGTATTTGTACTTTGTTTCTTCTGACCTCTGCTAACAGGAGGGATGAGGTTTACACATTTTATTGCTCTTGTTGTTTGGAGCAGGACGGATAAAGTGATTTTACAGGCTAAAGTTATATAGTAAAATATAGATTTTAACTTTAATGTCTATATTATATATACATTTTTTATTCTTGTTTTTTTGCAGGGATACAACAGCAAATGTATCAATGACAAATACAACCACTGTCATAAAGGAACAGAAACGTGTTTTATAATGACTCCACTATAGAGCCAGAATGTAGATCAGCAGGGAAACAAACTGACTTAAAAACTACAGAAACACATTATAGAATAATAAATCATAAAGATGTTCAACAGCACATTAATGCTGTACCTCTGCACAATAAACCAAAACACAACAAACTGAACAAACAAACAACAGGAAACCTCACATTCACCCACACTAGTCAACAGTCCTTAAAAACAGTTTAATTCATGTGTTCTTTTGTTGTCTTGCAAACACTTTTATTTTATTTCTATATAGCAGGAACAACACACAATCCTGTACATGTATTGTACCAGATACAGTGGATCTGTAGATCCTGGGCGGAGGTCACTAGAACGCAGGTAAAAGAGATAATATTATAATAATATAATAATAATAATTATTATTATTATTATTAAAAACAGAGCAGACTCAAATGTCAGTGCTGGAGTCTGTTTATCACTTTTAATGATGAATATTGATATTATTTGTCACCTGAAGCTCAAAATCAGGACAAATAAATCTTAATACATCAAAGTGTCAGAAAACCTTCAACAGGACAAATATCTGAAGACAGAAAGAAGCAATCTGAGAGGAAAGTGAAGGGAAAGAGGAAGTAAAGAAAGAAAAAAGAGGAAGACAGGGAGGAAGACAGGTGATGTTGTTTATGAATCATTCATTCACTTCATGAGGTTCAGAAGAGCCTCAGTGATGAAGAGGAAGGAGAGAAGGGAGGAAGGAAAGGAGGCGAGGGAAGGGGATGAAGGGGAGGGAGGAGGAGTAAATCAGTGTTGGAGACTCTGATGCGGAAGAAGAATCAGCCTCGATGAAGGAAGAAGAAACCCGAATTGAAAGCAGCCCCCCTCCGGCTCCCTTCACACTTGTTGAATAACGTTTATGTCCGGAGCCCTGCGGCGGCTTTTGGACGTTTTCCCACCCGGGTTCTCCCCTCTTTCTCTCGGATGTGGAGCTGCTGCTTTCAGGCTGAATGGCTGACTGAAAATAACATCATTCATCCATTTCATTCACTTCAAAACCGCCGCAGACACACACTCAGCATCCAGCTTTACCGGATCGATATTTCATCCATTATTCATCCAGATTCCCGAGCGGGGGAGCTCCGGGAATCACGCCGAGCGCGGCGCCCTGTGCTCCGCGTCGCGCCGCTGGGTGGCACCGCTGTCTCCGGGCGGAGGGACTCTGATCTCGGTGTGGTGGACGATCTCCACCGCGAGAAGACGACGTCGAAGAGGCTTTAAACCCGATTGTGACTGCCTCCCCGGAACACCCGCGGTTTGTTTTGGTAATGTGGATACACGATTAATATTTCAGGAGTTTAACATTTAGACAGTTTTTGAGGCGGGGAGCTTTTGGGAGACACGCCGGCCACAGCGCTCTCTCTGCCGGGCAGCACCGCTGGGTGGCACCGCTGGGTCCAGCCGGTGGGATGACTCTCTACCGGCGGTTAACGACGTCACATTTACAAGAAAACTAATCTCGTTTGGTTCACAAAGTCGTGAGCTGGTTGCCTGCTCTGTATTTCTGGACCTGGCTGAGGCTTCTGAAGCGGGGGAAGCTCCAGGACGCACACCGAGCAGGGCGCGCTGTCGCCGGGCTGAGCCGCTGAGTCCGGCCCGGTGGGATGTCTCCTCATTGGGGGTGGAATATTTTCTAGAGATCCAGGATTTGTCTGCACCAGAGGTGTAGTTATACCCAGTGTTGTCGCCCTCTCGTCGGTGTGTTTGTGTGTTGGAGGACATGGCGGACTCCGGCCGGGCAAGACCGGCGGACCCCGACCCCGCGGACAGCCGGGCAGAGAGCCCCATGGCTGTGAGGAAGAGGGCGCAGCAGTCTCCCGGTGTCCGGCCCAAGTACCAGAGCTCCGCACCGGGCCACTGCCTGAAGAAAGTCACCCTGACCAAACCCACCTACTGCCACAGCTGCAGCGACTTCATCTGGGGGCTCATCGGCTTCCTGTGTGAAGGTAAGACCACAATACACAGTATCTGGTGTTTTATTTATAATCTATAATCAATTATTGATGGTAAAGTCATGTTCTACATTAGTGCATTAACTGGTCCTCCCCCTGGGGTTCGAACCGCCAACCCTGCTGCTGCTGCCTGCTTCTGTAAAGTGTTTCTACTTCCAGTCAGGCTTTTACCTGCAGTTCTGATTAACATGGAGCAGGTCTCTGGGACTGGATCAGGATCAGGATCAGGATCAGGATCAGGATCAGGATCAGCTGTAGTTCTGTGTCATTGTACTCAAAGTCATTCAGCATCATCTGCTACCAGGAAGTCATCCGTCCTTTTCTGTTCTTCTGCTTCTCTTCCTTCCTCGTCCTTTCCTCCTGTTTCCTTCATTTACTTCCTGTTTCCTTTCTCTTTATTATTATATTATTATCTTTTTCTTTTCTTTTACTTTCCCAATCTTCTGTTTCTTTCCCTTTTCCTACATCCTTCCTTTTTATTTCCTTCCTGTCCTCTTTTCTTTCCTGTTCCTCTTTGTCCTGTTTTTTGTTTATTTTCTTGTTCTTGTTTTGTTGTTTCCTTTCCTTCAGTTTCTTTTAGTTTCTTTCCCACTGAGCCTCGACTTAATCATGAATTCAACAGGCGAACTGAAGCAGCTCCAAGACACACACACACACACA